TCATACTGTATATGTCTTTTGTTTTATACAGATAGCTAGCAGGTAGGGAATGGCGGAATGGCATAGCCCCCCCCCCCCCTAACTCACTCAAAAAAAAAAAAAAGGAAAAGAAAAGAAATATTACTTCCAAGTTCGAAAAGAAACAAAAGAAGGAAATTTAGTAATCAAATTTCATATGGTTAAGTCATGCATGTTCTAATTTATCTGTTGCATTTGTCTCGTCTTCGTGCTTCCTCCTCCCACACATACCACCCATCTTCCCTCTCTTCCTCAGACAAGTAAGAAAAGATTTGAGTCAAGTTTAATATTATTAGGAGAGACCCCCTTTTAAATAGGAAAATGAATCGGCACCACTATAGGGCACAAGTGATGACTTTAGATCATTATAATTATAGTGTCTAGCTATATATTTCTTAGATATTTTACACACTAGAAAGCTAAGCTAATAGCCAATCCTTCTGGACCGAGACATAGAAACCAAATTCATTAATTGGATGATGGATAACCCTACCAACCCCACATGAAGTTTATTAGACTCTACAAGGATGGAAACATAGCCATTGCTCACAAAGTGAACAGGGGACTGTCATCATTTGGCGATTAAAGATTTGGGAGAGACCCACATCACACTTGAGAAATGAATGGAATATAAAAATCTGATTTCTAGGGGTTCATTATTATTATCATATGAATTTTCTTTTGGGGACTACTAAGGGAGGGGAGGGGGNATTCTTTTTGGTTAGGTCGTGAAAGAGAAATCCCACTAGCTAGCTAGGTAAAGGGAATCTATTATCTATGGTTGAAGAGGAGTTGGATTCCACTGAGTGTTTGATGTGAATAACACATATGTATCTTGCATCTTGAATAGGGACATTAACATGCCTCCAAGCCTTGACAACCTCGGTTCTTTATGACGTGGAAAGACGGAGTCCACTGGATTCAACTCATCATTGGTGCCTAAACAGAAATAAACTAAGTCCAGTAAGGCCCAATAATTGGTGGGAAGGGAGACACTGGCCCTAGGCAACCAACTCATCCTCACTAAAAAGGCACTAACAACCCTATTCAGTACTCTTCATCATTCATGGCTTGGGTTTTCAACGCAAACCCAATATGGGCTCTCTTATTAATATTCAAAAGGAGGGTTTCCATCTAATAAAAAATGGGGTCTTCGAGGCAACTCAGATATGGTCTCACTTGAATCCCTCTTGCTCCCACCAAACCAGACCTAAGAATATATATAGCAAAAAAAAAAAAAGAAAGAAACGTTGCATTATTTATAGTTCCTAGCAGCTACTATACATATCCCAACCCATCTACCCTAACCTATCTTGTGAATCAAAGCAAAGAGTACTGCCCTTAATATAAAAACTAAAATCTTTTTGAAACATAATGCATGGAGACTGGAGAGACGGAGAGAAGGGAACCTCTTCGCTTCTGCCTTTTAAAAGCGGCATCAATTACGACCTTTGCATTCTATTTATTGGGATGGTCCTGTAGCACACGTGTCTATATGCTGGATATAGACACAACAGTTTTCCTACACGTGTGTGGATCGGTAGGACATTGGTCCCTGCATAAAGGGTGGAGACACACCCGATGGTCTCTCTCTCTCTCTTTGGGGGAATAAAATATAATGGGATGGAAGACACAGGTGATTAATTGGTCATCATTCATCAGGAGGTTGGGCTACTATATATTGTTACATAAGGTATGGCCATGTGACCCAAGATGCCATTCTTATGGGGAACACATGAATAATGGGTAGGTGTGATTGAGTCAATGGTCTGAAATAAGCTTTCCATTCCTTCTAAGCTCCATAACATACATGAGATGAAAGCATAAGCATTCAACGACTGCGATGTGAATGACATGAATCCCAGGCGGAGAGTGATCACATGCATGTTAAGAAAGAATCACATGACAGCGGTCGAGCATAAGTCAATTTTCTTTTTGGTCCTCCATCTATTGTTATTGTTTGGTAATTGGTTGCGTGGAGGATATCAAAGATGGAAGTTACAACTTTTGACTCTGTATACCATTCGATTCGAGCTCTCTGGAAAGTTTGGGATTTCAAATTAGATATATTACAGTGGAAATATCTACTTGTTTATTGGGTCAATATAATTCCTCCCAGCTAGTCAGTCCCAGCGCTGCCTAACCTTCACGAGGACCAAGACCAAACCTGAGCATTAGTAAAACAAATATTGATAAAAGAATCAAGGCCTGCACCCAAAAGAAAGTAAAAGATGCATTAATTATATCAACACAACAACCGTTTTGATGAGGTCAATTCCCAAATAATTAATAATTAGGAATTAGGGTGTGTGTACTGTGTAGGGATGGAGAGAAACGAGGAAGGGGGAAGCAGCATTTTGAATTTAAGGTAAACCAATCAAGTTTGAACTTTGAACCTTGAACCCTACCCTACCCTAGAATATATATATATATACTTATACTTAATTAGCCCTTGTTATAGCTAGCTAGCACGCACGCACCTAGAATGCATCGGTTAAGCCCCCGTCAAAGTCCTCTTCCATCCCCACCCCTTGTTTAAATTTTTCTTTTCATCTATCTGAGTTTTCATTCAAGGGGGAATTAAAGGAGGTAGTCTTTGATTGAGCATCCTTATTCTGTTATGATTTATGAATTGAGTATTATTCATACATGCTTTTCAAGTTTTCCCTCTTTTATTCTTAATTTTATATGCATGTAGGTAGCCCTTACGCTCGGTAAAAGAAAAGAAAAGAAAAAATATATATAAAATCTTTCCAGTTTCTACACAATTATTGGCCTAACACCTGTATCCTCCTTCATTTGGAAA